TTGATCTGATCAAGGGGTTCCCAATGGAGGAGTTAGAGAGAAGACTGAAGGAGCTGAAAGGGTTTGTGGCCCCATGAGGAGAGCAACAATACCAACCAACTAGAGCTCCCAGGGTCTAAACCACCAGCCTGGTAGCACTTAGGGAGGGACCCATGGCTCCAGCTGTATATGTAGGGGAGGATGGTCCTGTCAGGTATAGGTAGGAAACGAGATCCTTGGTCCTATGAAGGCTGGACACCGAGTGTGGGGGAATTTGAGGGTGGGGAGGTGGGAGTGGGGGAGTAGGTGGGGGCACATCCTCATAGAAGCAGGAGGAGGAGGGGGGATGGTATAGGGGGTTCCTGGGTGTGGGGGGGATGGGGTAAGAGGATAACATCTGAAATATAAATATAATATCCAATAAAAAAAAGAAGCTACTGAGTCAGAGGGACAGGGGAGGCCTTTGGAGACACTCGTGTGGGGTGTGAGTAGAGGCAGTGGACTCCCCACCCTATAGACAATGCAGAAAGTCCATGGCAAGGACAGGACAACTCTCTACATGTGGCATGACATCCAGTCTCTGCAGCTATGGAGGAGGAAGTGAGGGGCAGGTCCCCAGGGACCTGCCTCCTTCCTAGTGTCTGCCAGGAAGGAGGATGCATCTGTTCTTCCACTGGGATGCTGGGATGGGTGGGATCTCAGGCTTCTCCATTGTCCTGTGAGAAGCACGTGCTACCAGAGATCATTCTCTAGAAAGGACAAGGGTTTGCATGTACTCACACAATTAACATTCAAACCACCACAGCGAGACACACTGATGGAAGGGGACAGGACAGACGGGGACAGGAAGCACTGGGCAGCAAGTGAGAGAGACAGGCAGGGTTAGAAGGGCCAGATTTCCTACAAAGACCTCCCTGCCACTCCTAAGGACAGGAGTGGGAGACACTGGAGCCATGGAGGCCAACGTGGGAAGCCAGGGTAAGTTAGGCAAGAGAGAGCTAGGCTTCCTTTAGATGAGGGATGGGGGCCAAGAGATGGAGGTGAGCATGGGTTCTGCTGGAGGCGATATGCTGCCCTGGGGGCCAATTTGGCAAGGTGGTGGTGGTGGTGAGATGGTGGGGGTGATGTCTAGAAGGAGCCCAGATTTGGACTTCGGATTTATGGAGAATGATATTTTTCTTTCTGAAGGGAAGAGCAAAGCAGTGAGCTTTGGTCTCTAAGGACCCAAAGGATCAGGGGAAGGCTCACTCAGGCACATGAGAAATATCTGAAAATGTCCCTGTTATCACCAGGCAGTGAAAGGCAGAAACACAAAGAGATATGGACAAAGGAAACCAGGGAACAAAGAAGCAGCAGAAGAAACACCCAGAATAACAGACCCACAGGGACTCCATGTGCCAACAGAAGAAAGGGCTGGGCCCCAGTCCTGGTCATGACTGCAAGGCAAGCTGGAAGAAATGGCCTAGGCCCCCTGCTCCCCAGTCCACTTCCCCACCCTGTCCTCACACCTGAGCATTCCCCAGTTTCTTCCCACCTGGTTCTAAATAGCACAAGTGGTCTTGGGCTTCCAGGCCATCTGTCCAGTAGCAGACAAATGAAGGACTGTGTGGAAGTCACCGAGGATCAGGGAGTCCTGAGCACACAAATCCCAGAGCTACTAGACATAAGACTGGGTAACCTCCTGCTCGTTAGTTAGCTTTTTATCATTGCGATCAAATGCCAAAGAAAAACAATGTAAAGGTGTAAGGGTTTACTGTGATGTGGTAGAAGATGGCAGAAAGACGTGAAGTCACAAAGTTGTTTACCTCAAGGTGGCTAGGAAGTAAAGGCAGAACAAAGAGCTCGAGACAATATATAACCCCCGAGAAAATGACTCCAGTAATTGCTGCTACCTCCCAGTGACAACATCAAATTATGAATCTATCACTTCTCAGTGGTTTGACCCTTCAAGCCTTCTTCTTGTGATCCCATGGCCAGGGGGCGGGGTAGGGCAGGGGGTACCTCGTATCTCAACCATAACAGGGGGGAACACTGTTTCCATGGCAAGCCAGGCAGCCGTAGGATGAGCAGAGAGTCAATGCAACTGAGCTCTACCAGATGCACCCTCACATCTGGCCCAGAGGTTCCAGGCTTATACAAATGCAAGGTATAATTGAGAACTCTAAGACCCTTTCTGTGTTTACATTATACAGCCTCTAATACCCTCAGCCGACCTAGAAAGCAGGGAGTTCGGCCATCTTTCCAAATATAACACATAGACCTTCTCCCTTTAAAGCCCAGACATCACAGCGCCACTCCCTGGTGGCAGGGATCTGATTCCTCAACCAGACTAATATCTTATTTTCAGAGTTTTAAAATACCCACTGGAAAAACACATTCTAAACATAAGCCATGGGTATCGCCTTTTTAAATTCAAGTCACTAATGTTTATTTTGCCCATTTAGGATTTAAAAATAAACAAACACATTACCACCAATTACCACCACCACTTCATAAAAGAAAAATGATTTTAATGTCTGAAATTGTAGGCAGGACATAATTATAGAATTATGTGAAAAGCATTACTCTCAGCTAAAGACTTTTGCCATCATAGAAAAGGAGGTTATAGTGTGAGTTTTTCTCCCTTCCAAACATACTGGGTTTCAACTTGGGTAGGATAAGCCCAGGCAACCTCCAAGACTCAGATTTTATGGCTCTAAAATTCTTCTTAACATCAACTGATATTTTTTCCTTCATAAAAAATATCCTCAAGGAGCAGGATACAATAACCACTTTCAGCAATATAATTTTGACCAAAATCTATAACCACGAAATAAAAAAAGACTTTGCTGCCATTGAAATGCAATTTTTTCCCCAGGGAGGCTCAGGAGACACTAAGCATTCTGTCAATTCAATTGTGTATGTGGGAACTGCGAGGAAAGGAGCTGTGACCCGCCTCTGGGTGACAAAGGCTGTTTCAGGTGGCTACCTTTCATCTTCACGCTATTGCTAAAGGCCTCACAGCAGCAAGTCATAATGGTACATGCCTGTGCTCCTGGCACTTAGGAAGCTGAGACATAAGGATTGTCAAAAGTTTGAGGCCAGCTTGGGCTACACAGTGAGACTCTGTCTCTAAAATAAACCTTTAAAAAAAGAAAAGAAATCCCAGCACAGCTAATCCAGGCTCTTCCCACCCTCTGTGTTTTTTGTTTTTTGGGTTTTTTTTTTTTTGCCACCCTCCATGTGTGTTGTCGTTGTTGTTGTTTGGTTTGGGTTAGGTTTGTTTGTTTGTTTGTTTGTTTGTTTAACTTCTTGGCAGTTCAATATATTGGAAACTTCCTGGTCAGTGAGATGCTGGCAAACCTACATGGGCTAATTCAAACAGAGACCAAACTTGCCCATGAATACGCCTTTCAAAACCAGCCAGCCACAGCCCAATCCACACCCAGATACCTATTGTAGCTAACACTCACCCACCAAGCCTGTCTTCCTCTACCCTGAGGGAATCAGGCCAGGTGCCAGGTAACTAGGGACCAACAGAGTGAAAACCCTGCCATTATTCAAACCACCAGTCCCAAGCTGTTCCCCTGCCCTCCTTCGCCAAAGACCTTCCACCCAAAACACATGCACAGCTGCTGCCAGGGTCAGAGCCCCTCTCCCTCCCTGCTTCCAAGTGTAATGGCTCAGCTTTTGCAAATTCTGTAACCAATTCTTTTCATTAATGGCCTGAGTCTCTGTGTCACCACTTTGTCACCTCTAAAAATTAAGAACCTGCAGGCACAAATTTGTCTGCACCTCTTCCCTGGCACCCTGTCCTTTCTCTTTGTCTGTACCCTGGAGGTCGAGCGTGACAGAGGAACTCATGTTCACCAGCCCTTCTGAGCAGTAATGCCTTTGTCTGTGCATTGTGACACTGGGCACCAGGGAAGCTGTGCTGAAGGCCTAGACCACAGCATTGTTGTGGATGCTGGTCTTTGAACATTCTCCACAGAAGCTCAGCAGAGGAGGGGAGAGCTTGAAAGAAGGCTTCAAGTTGGGGCCTGGGGAGTTAGGAAGCAAAATGGGTTGAGCCTCCCCAAAGCTATAGCCACAAGCAGGAAATGAGGGGAGTTCTGAGCCCTTGCCCCAAACCTAGCCTCATATGGAAGTCAACATTTCCCATAGTAAAGACAAGACTTGGCACAGGTGCTGCCCACCAAGTCCACTTGGTGTGTTCACAGGACATGTGGCCAGCATGCTGGCATGACCTTAGTAGATCCAATCCCATACCCATCTTTCTAAGAAAACTGGCAGAAGTCAAGAGAGGCTGACGTGACACAGGAAACCCCAAAGTCAATCCCAGAAGCCTGGATGCAGAGCCAACCATCCTGGGAGGGACTATGAGGACTAGCATGTGCAGGGCTGTGCGATGACTCAGTGGTGGGGCGCTTGCCATGCAAGCCTGAACCCAGAACCCATGATGGAAGGTGAGAACCAACTCCCGAGAGATGTCCTCTGACCTCTCGCTTGTCCACACTCTCACATACAATGACAATATTTGGAAAGTAAAGCATATATTTAAAAGGAACCATGCTCTGTAACACATCCTTGAATGATCTCATTTCCTCTGATCTTGGGCAGCACAGGGCCAGCCATAACTGCTAGAAGTTGGCATCCAAATGTCAATGCCCAGAAAGACTCAAGAAGGCTGCCTTCCCAGCCCTCTACCCCCTAGATTCTCCATCTTGTGAAGAGGACAGTCACCAAACTTTCAGTGGTCCTGCCTACTCTTCCCCATCCCATAGCAGGGTCATCAGTCTCATGCCCTAGCTCTAGCTGTGACACCAGAACTTCCCAGCATAGATGGCCTAGAAACCTGGGGTCTCAGGAGAGCTGCCTGAACCCATGCTGAGTGGACCTGGGCTTTCTGTTTCCACCCAGGAATAAGATGGGAAAGATCCTTCCACCCTTGGAGCTCTAAGCCTCAGAGGGGACTAGGCCCAGGGCCACTATTCATCCAATGGAAGGAAAGGCAAGGCCTCTGTACGGCGAGTATAACTCACGCTGCTTCTCCTGTAAGATGCTGGATGTGCACGCTGTGGCGCCTTCTCCTGTGGAAACAAAAAGGACATGAGCAGCTGGGTCACTGCTCTGCTGCACCTACGCTGCACTCCCCTGAGGAGCTGCTGGCAGTTGCCACTACCCTCCTGAGCTGACACACTACCCAGGTGACAGACACACTACCCAGGTTTCCCACCCTGCCCTACCTACCTCAGAGTTAGTGTTTGGCCTTTGTGTATGACCCAGCCCTGAGCCCCCACATGACGCTGTTGCTGAGTGCTGGCTAGCTCCTTGGTTATGCCCTTGACCTTAGTTTTCCCAAGGTTATCTTTGCTGGCTCCTCTCCTCTCCTAACTTATAAAGCAGCTGCTAGATGCTGCCCCCTTTCCCATCACACTGTCCTATAAGAGTCCAAGTACTCACTGCACAAGGACCCTCTGAGCAAGGTACTGGTGCAGCCCTCGATTCTAGAAGTCTGTGGCACAGAGGCTATGTAATTGGGTCCCATTGACACAGCAAGTGAAAGACAGTAGGTGTCTATCCATCCAGTACAGCTGGGCGCTGTGTTTAGACAACAGTAGTTAAACCTCTTTCCAACCAGACTTCTCTGTTTGTGATCTGTGCATCCTGCTGCCTATAGCTTCTGTGGAAACTTCCCAGACACTTCACATTCTCCATGACTAGGAATTCCCAAGTAATTTTGAGTTGCTCCCTACCCCACCCCCAAAAATGCATCTGAAGCAACACTGGTTCTCTAAGCAAGTGCCTGAGCACTGTGGGACACCCCCCTGCAGGATCTGCCTCCCCCACAGGACTCCAGGGCAGTGCTTTCCAGGAAATGCCTCTTTCTTCACAGCCAGTCCTCTAGGGCCTGCTGTGACTCCTTTTCCAAATGTGTCTGACTCTATATTTGTGATCCAAGACACCATCCTCAGAGCCCCTGTTTCCACATCCCTCTGCCTGTCACACCCTCCTCCATGTTTCATGTCACCTGGATCCAAGTCTCTGCTTCCCTCCTCCTCAGAAGGGTCTATGAAGGGAAAGAGCATCCAGCTGGGGTCTGAGGCTAGGACTTGGTTCACACCAACCCTCTGTGTGACCCAACGTACCTCCCTTTTCCTTTCTGGACTTCTTTCCTATAAAATACTATGGACTCAGTGCTGTCTTGAGACCCTTTGGATACTGAAAGCTGGATGGATAGACACCTACTGTCTTTCACTTGCTGTGTCAATGGGACCCAATTACATAGCCTCTGTGCCACAGACTTCTAGAATCGAGGGCTGCACCGGTACCTTGCTCAGAGGGTCCTTGTGCAGTGAGTACTTGGTGATCTTAGAACACAGGCAGGCAGCTAACCAACAGATTCATGAGGATCACCCTTCTTCTTGTTGTTGTTTATATTTGACACAGGGTCTCACTATGTAGCCCTGTCTAGCCTGGAACTCTATGCAGACCAGGCTGGCCTTGGACTCAGATCTGCCTGCACTTCGCCTTCCTCATGCTGAGATCAAAGGTGTGTGCCATTGTGCCCAGTTTACCCTTAGTGTTTTATTTACTGATTTACTTGTGACAACTAGCTCATGATCTTGTCTCTTGTCCTTATCATGACACAGGTAGAGCCAGATGGACAGAGCCAATGGCTAACGGGGGGGGGGGGGGCGTTCACAGTACTCCCTAGACCCAGTGCTACAATACTTATTGGACACAGGACAGAGTTTGTGTCCTATAAGAGTCCAGTTGGAGAAGAAATGTCTGGGCTTCCATGGAGTGACTGTCACCCAGCATGACGAGGTGGCCACAAACTGCGTCAGAGGAATGAGAGTAACTGTAACCCAGATGCAAACAGAAACCAAGGAAGACCCAGCATCAGACACTAATGTCAGGCACCACTCTTCTATATCACCTAAGGCCACAGAGTGTAGGTGTATCTGGGTGAAGTCACTTTCCCTAACACAGAAATGAGGTCACACATTCCAAACACACATTCTGTTCCCCACTCATGGTGCCAAGGGCTGTGGGTGACACAGAGAGGAAAAGCAAAGTGTGTACAAGGGCAAGAAAAACCTCTGCGTGGAGCACGGTGCTGATGCAGTCAGCCATGATGGATGGGGAGCAGGGGACCATTTTCAGCTGAAGCCCCTGGAAGCCTTCAGCAAAGGAAGAGAAAAAGACCGGGTGCTTCAAGTGGTCAGCAAACATCATGCCCAAGGCATGCCAAGTCCAGGGGAGACAGGATGCGGAGGCGGTGACCCTGGGCAGGAAGCCCATTTATATGAATATAATAAGTAAGAAAGCCAAGCTTTGGTGCAAAAACGACTCTCAATATCTCCACATCCGAAGCTCCTGCTGCTTGCTTCTATTGCACCCAGGAACCAGCAACATAGTTAGCTGGGTTCTAGGCAAAGGGAGCAGCAATGGCTGTGCCAGAAAGCAAGAAGAGCACCAAAGGTGCTGACTTCACTCTGGAGACTCTCAACCTCCACCCCTTGGCTCAGAACACACATATTGGGAGCCTACCATCCCCCAAGTCCTCCACTGCTAGCCTCCATTTTGCACAATGGACTGGGGAGTGGAGTGATACACCTGCCCTCCCTCCTGTGTGCCTGCTGTTCCCATTCAGGACTGACAAGAGTCCTCACCCTCTAGGAAGGGAGCACTTACTTCCTTGGATAGGATGGATAATAGCTTGCTCCCTCTGAGTTACACTCAGAATACATTGTGACACTGCCAGCCTAGAGAAACACAGCAGATGGAAGCATCGGTCCCCTGCCCTGCCTGTGCCCAGGCTCCTGTTGGAGGGAGGGGATATGTGGGACAGGACAGCCAGATGGGGTGGAGGAAGGCCAAGCACCCATCTTAGGAGCCCTTTGATGTGTTTCAGCTCAGGACTATATGCAGCAAAGCCTCAGCCTGGGGCATGTGACCCATCAGACTCCACTCACAAGCCACAAAATAGGAGATGAAATAATTCAGAACTGGGAACAGTAAAACCCAAACCAAGAACTCTTTGGAGCACTGACCACAGCTCAGACCATAATAAAAATGTACAGGCATTTCTTATACACCTACTAGATAAGGGAGGCCATTTTGGTTTACACCAGTTCACACAAGTTTCACATCTTTATGAACTTCTGGTCCCAGTGCTTGTTTCCTGACCACAAAGCAAGTAAAGCTTTGAGCTGGGGCAGAATTTTCACCAGCAGGATTATCTAATGAAGAAGGAGCCCAAGGATCTGAGACTCTTGCTGCTGGGGAAACTGGAATATAGAGACTTAGGGAAGCCAGGAGGCCCTTGACCTTGAGATGCTGGTGCACAGGATGTGCCTAGATTTGGAGAAGGGAATGTTAAGGAAGGAGATCAAAGCCAAGTTAGGAGAACTCACAGCCAGTCGAGAGCATGGCTACTCTTAGGTACACTCAGTAGGCTATATATCTAGGAGTGCAGGTACTTCGTGTCCTGCCCTGTGCTCTCCTGAAATGACTGTGGCTTCCACCTCTGCGAAACAGACCTTTCATAGAGAAGGAGATGGGGACTCAGTGGGGCCCCATCACTTGGCCATGAGCACCCTGGTTCTGATGAGGACTTCTTGCTCCCGTTACCCTGTCTCTCCCTCTTGAGATCTCTAGGTCATGGCTTCTCTGGAGGGCTCAGGTGGTGAGGGGAGAGTGTTTGAGGCAGAGGCTAAGGGTGGGAGGGAGAGAGCAGAGGAGGGACTGTTAGCAGAGGCTGTTGAGCCTGGCCAGTGCTCCCTGCAGACTTAGCTTCCCCTACAGTGATGCCAGAGCCAGGGACCGGGTGAGACTGATGAGGATGCTGAGGGAGGACAGAATGAGCCTTTCTGTAGTTGTCATTTTGTTTTTTCTTTATTCTTTGCTATTTTATAGATCTACATAGTGCGTTCTGGTTATTCTTGTCACCATCCCTACCTTGCATCCCTCCAACCTGATCAACCCCTTGTCTTTTGAAAAGAGGGTCTCACTGTGTAGCCCAGGCTTGCCTGGAATTCAAATCCTCCTGCTCAGCCACCCCACCACCCAGTGTACTAGAATTACAGAACTGTCACCATGTTGGTGGGGCTACTATCCACAATATAAATGATGCATACAGAGAAGGCAGCAACAGCAGCAGGCTGGCCTTGCCTTCTCAGTTCAGACCAGCTTTACCCCCCCCCCCCCACTCAGAGCTACCACTAGTGACAGAGGAATCATTGTAGCTTTGAAACCCGGTTTCCTAATTAGTAGGCTCCCAGAACATGAGCCATTAACCAAATGTTCAGCTGGCTCAACGTTGCATAAATGAGACCCCACTTGGCCTGGAACTTTCCAAGGCCCCTAGGCCCAACCACTTTGCCTCATCTTAAGCTTTCTTCTATCACAGGAGCTGCCAGAAGCTCTAATAAGCAGAATAGTTATACAAAGTCGGCTGCAGGCTGCAGGCTGCAGATTGGGAGCTGGAGTTAGAGGCTGTGGTCAGGGCTAGAGTCTGGGGCCCGGAAGTTAGGAGCTGGGGCCACTGATACTCCAGGCTGTAGTACCATAAATCTTGCCTTTCTCAAGTTTATATATTCTGGGGAGTTTGGCTACAGCATCTTCCCCAAAGAAGACACTTCCAACCCTTGCTAATGACTTCCCAAGTAATCTTTTTCCCCTTTCCATCCATCTTCTGGAAAACCACAAGCTCCCTCCAGCAAGAGAAGCAAAATGTGCAGCTATGAACTGATCTCTTTCAGCAAACATGCTGAACAGGAGAAGCTGCTCCTAGCATTCAAGTGGAGGTTGAGTGGCTGCTAGGGAGGGTTTCAGACCTGGAGAAGATTCTAGGAATTCTGTCTGTTAACCCAGGGCACAGGAATTCTGAAGCCCCTATGTGTCCCATACTCTTCTGTTTCTGGGCGTTGGGAACAGGCTTAGGCCAGCTCAGTTAGTTCAGTTCATAAAGGGGCTGGCGTGGAAACCTGTCTGTGCCTCCTAAGCAGGCTTTTCCCCAAATGCTGAGCACTGCTGAGCTGTGGGTTAGTGAAATCCACTACCTATAATCCCTGGCCCACAG